CCCCCCCCCCCCCCCCCCCCGACTCACATAGACACGTCTCCCCCGTTAGCTGTTTGCTAGATCAGTAAAGGTCTTCTGTTGTTTGACAGAAACATGTTGTGACGTCATCGGGATGTCCTTACGAGAACCACGGATGCTGGTGTCGTTTTTGGTCGTGGTTGTCGGCGTCGAAGCCTCCGTGAGCGCCTAAATAAATGGCGGCTGGGAGTACGATTGGTCGTGGTATGGTTATATTGCCACACTCCGCGGTGGATTTCGAGTCCCAATATCGAGATATTCAGAACAGAGATAGAAGGTTTAACACCGAAAGGAGCGACGTTGGAAACATGTGGTAGTAGAGAGGAAAAGGAGAGAGAGAGAGAGAGAGAGAGAGAGAGACTTGTCAAAAGGCTCATTGTGTCTGCGACGATTTGTTCTTTGTTGTCAAGATGTGGGCGCTTTGAAGACCGACCGCTACCGTATTTTTTCATGGCGTACTCTGGCTTCAGTCCGGGTGCACGGATGCTGCTGATTAACCCTTTTCGCTCATGTCCTTTCTTGCTCTCGTCTTCTCGATGCAACGGCGGCTTGCTGATTGCCTGCGCTTGCCAGTTGCGAAAATTTCCTAAAGCCTAACAGCTGTGGACCGAAGTAGCGACTGGGGCTTGGTGATAGTGCGAAAGAGGTGTTCAACCTGAAATTCCGAGCATATTGGGGTGCGTGACTCTGTCAACGAAAGGAAGAAGCGTAGCGGTTCAATTCCGCACGAGGAGAACGATAGTCTACACGGATGTACCCTATGGCAAGGCCAAGTGAAAATCTGTTCACAACAAGATTAGGTGGTTCGGCCGAGATTAGCTAGGCATGTAAGTCACCACCACCATGTGTGGAAGACAACATGGAAAGAACCATGGACCGGCAAGAACTCAGTACCCCCCCCCCCCCCCCCCCCCCCCCCNCCCCCCCCCCCCCCCCTGCCCCGCCCCGCCCTGCCGCTCGTGCGGTCATATCAGGCGCCCCGCCGCCTGCCGCCGCCAGGTTACCAGCCACCTCCTCCCAAGCAGGGCGGCCGGGCTCCTCCACCGACGACGCCTCCCCTGCCCGGAGGAGCCAATAACCCTTCCGATATCCCGGACTTCTTGACACGTCTCAAGCGCAGCCAGCGTTGATATTCTAGGGCGGGCTTACTTCTTTCTGTACAGACAGACAGGTGCTTGGAGCAAGGCGATGAACGACGGTGGCTAGAACCGGGTCCGGTTTGTGTGAGGACGGGTATGGGATTGGTCGAGAGGGAGGAGGTTGATTTGGAGTGTTGGGATTAAATTTTGTTTTTCATGTGCTTTTTTTTGGGGAAATTAGAGCTTGTCGTTTGGCCCAGGCATTCTCTCCCTTGTGCCTTCATTTCTTTTCGGGAGGGGCGCTGCCGAAGGGTCCCCCTTTTTTGGAATTACAAGGTGCTTCAAGTTTGCTGTTTGTCGTTTTTGGTGATGGATTTTCACGTAACGATATCCTTCCGCCTTTTGCCCCCGATCCGATGGGATGGCTCCGTGCCGCGAATTGTCGTCCCGCTCACCCCCCCTTAGCTGCGTACCCCCCCCCCCGGCCGTTTTCCCATCCTCCGCCCACAAGTCGTAGCCCGTGTGTCCCTTTCAGTTTTTTTTTTCCCACAGGATGTTTGGAGGTGCCCACCTCGAACGTGTCTGGTGCTGGTTGCTGTCTGCCTCAATCGTAGTACATGGCAACCAAAACGGGGTGCGAGTGTGTAGTGGTGTGCTACGACGATGCGCGGGTGTTTCATGTGTTTTTTTTCGTGCGGGGGTGATTTTTTTTTTCACGTTGGCGTCCGGAGGACCGTGCGCCGGGGTTGGGTTTCCAAGGGAAGTACCTGGTAGGTGTGCGTGCGTTGGTGTAGGGCGGCAGATCACCAGCTGTCGACGCCGGCGTGAGTGAGTAGCCGTGCGCCACCCCCTCCGTTGACACACACTTCAAAGTCCAGTCGGCGCTAGAGGCGGCGGTGGTGGCAATTGTTATGTTGTCGCTGTTTCGCCGTCTTTTGTTTGTTTGTCTGTTGTTGTAGTGGTCGTTGTTGTTGTAGTGTCGTTGTTGTTGTTGTTATTGTTGTGTATTTTGGCCTTTTTTTCGTCAACCATTTTTTCGGCGGCGTTGGTCTCTTTGTTTCTCGCGCGCCTTAGTCCGTAGCTGTGCAACAAGTGAAGTTGTATCACAATTTTTATCTACCGTGGACTGTATGATTTTTTGTTGCCCAACTGGCCTCCTTTATTGGTTTGCCGCAAGAGAGGCCTTTCGTGCCCTGGGTCTGGGTTATTGCTGTGCCTTGGGCACCGTTCTTACGATAACCTTGCCTGAGCACCCTTTCTGTCACGTGGTACATTCGCACATGTGCTTTTGTGGAGGTGGCGCTGATGCTGTGCGATCTGCACCTTGTGCGTGTAGGGGGGGGGGGTGCGATTTGGCTGGAGGACCGCAGGTGGGCCTTCGTCGCAAATGACGTAGCACAAAAATATCGCACGCTGTTGATGTCGTTAATGTTGCTATTTGTCTTTTACATTCAAAATCGTCTCGCGATGTTATCCTAAACGACACCTAACACTTGCAGTCGTCCAGCTAACGCGGAAGCCTTCCGCGGCCATACGCAAAACACTCAAGAGAAGGTACACCGTGAAAATCAAGGAGATCAACGATGCAGGGGTCCAGGAAAATCAACACAAACACGCTATTGAACCAGGACATTACAGCCAGCCCCCGACAGCAGCCAGACGTCGTAGGCAACTTTTCTGACAAAGGAGATATACAGGAGAGCCCATTGCTCCCACCCACCCGATATGCGAGGCAAACAAAAAAAGGAAAGATCGCCACTCAGAGCAACTCGAACGATTATATCCGTCTGCCTCGCTACTAGGCCGGAGTTTTTTCATACATGCGAAGAAGGAGAAAAAAACAAAAGGCCAGAAGTAACAGCACCGAGCAACATACCATATCGGGGAACTACATGTAGCAAATCATATGAAAGGCAAATATGCGACGGATATGCCTGTCACAGCCATCACTTTCTGTCGGGCACATATCTTGTACCTCAGGAACACAGACAACGAAAATGTAAGAGGACCGCGGAAGATGTACATCTGCGTGCGTGTGCGCGGATGGGCCAACACTCTGGCGCTACAATACCACCGCTGTTCCTCGGGTTATGCCAACATCGAGAGGGGGTACACGAAACAAACGTGTTCCCGAAGCCAACTAAATTCGATAGACATGCAATACATAAACAAGTCGACAACAACAGGTTCCATCGATTTCGCAGACACAGACACACAAGCGATCGTGCACACTTGGCTTGGGTATTGGCCACGACGCCTCAACTGCCATCAGCACCGAGTGCCTGAACGACCCCAAAACCCTGCAGCCTTGCTAGAAAACACTTTGTTGGCGCGCCCGGGACACTTTGCTCTGCCCACCGACCTTCCGCGCGTCAAAGCACGATCACCCTATCAGCAATCGAGCAACGAATTCACTGCTGCCGTTTCGCCTTACTAATTGCAGCCGGTGGCGACGACGCCGCCACTACCCCGAGGCGAACCTTGATGGCCTCATATACGACAAAGAAGACCGCGCTGGACGTGCCGATGTAAAAGACGCGGGTTCCTAGCCCCGAGAACAGCCCCCCGGCCTTGATGGCCGCGGCCCAAGTCTCCGCCGCCCCGCTGCCGCCGCCGACCATCAAGCGCGTGCGGACGACGTCCTGCGCGTACGCGCAGGCCACACGTGGGTTGCAATGGGTCAGTGTAACGATGCCGTGAGTCATACAGCGAGTGGGCTTGCTGTCCAAGGTGACCAAAAGCCAAGAGGCGAAAAGAGTATGAGCGGTGCGTGGGCAATTGTAACATCTGTGGATCAAGCAGGTGTGCGAACGACGATGGATTGTCGCCACATTGCCCGAAGCAGACCCCGCATATCGTGGTATTTGTAAGTCCGCCGATAGCGTGGCAGTAACAGCGGCGAAAAGTATGCACTACATCCTACGCGTGATGGGACGCGATCAGACCGTGCGCGGGAACAAGAACAACACACCAGTGGGCAGGTGAACGTCGCGCTGATCGCTCCCGCCAGTCCGCCGAGCAGCGCGGCATCTCCCGAAGAAAGCGCCGCGTGCTCGCCGTCAGCCCCCGCTGCTGCCATCGCCGCGCCGCCTCGAGCCCTCCCTACGGGAACACCGCCGCTGTCATCACCGCGGTCGGTCGCTACTCCTGTATGCTGCCGTCTTCGCCACGTCCTGAGCAGCGTCCGTAGGAGCTCGTACGAGGTGAGCTGGATGGCTCGGAAGGGAACGTCACGCCCCACCTGGTACATACCGGGAGAGCCCCCCGGGACGTGGCGTGCGTGTAGGTTCGTGTCACGCACCATCTACAAGGCTGCAGTATTATATGTGTGTGTGTGCACGCGGATTTGGATAGAAGAGGGTCCGGATACGGCTATGAAGCGGGGTTAGAGGCAAGGGGGGTGTGCAGGAGGAGATGGTGAACCATGTAGTCAAGCACTTCTTAGCTCTCACCTATTCACCTACTCATTTTCAGTACTGCTGTAGTCCTTTGTAGGAGGCCTCCGGACGGAGGGTACCTAGGCCCAAGGAGCGCCTACGGGTGTGCTTCTGACTGTCTCAAAAACTCGCCGCTCGATCTCCTTCACGTGGGCGACAAGTCCTGTCTGCTTGTCACAGGGCATGAACACTACAATACGTACCTGTGAGTCGAGTTGGAATGTGGCACGTGCGCAAGGCATACGCGCTTGGACCGCAAAGAATCACACAATGTAAAACACCGCCACATGCGGCTAGAATGAAAAAATCTGGCACCGGGCACACGGCGGGGCATGGGTCGTGCATATTTCGCCAATTCGCGTGCTTTGGCGCGAGGGGCGTTTGTTCGCATTTTTCACCTGCCCGCTGAAGCCTTGGTAGAAGCCGCCAACGCCGGACTTCCTAAAGATAGACATCGCCGCTTGGCCGACGGTCGCGTGAAGGCCTCCCTACGCACATACAGTCGGACATCCGGAAGGTTGAGGAAAGGCGGTCGAAACGAACGAATAAGAGATGAAGGCGTTTCTCCACCACACCGTTGGTGGGCTCAGCTCTGCACCGTGGTGCCACTATGTAGATAGCCCGGGAACTTGCGGAACTCGCGTTAATCGCAGCGAAGGTAGAACTCGCGCGTCGAACGTGGGAGGTTTGTTTGTTGTCTGAGGAACCCCTTGTGAGGTTCCTAAACCCAGAGATGTAAAACCGATGGATGGCACACCACAAACACCTCTTCGTTTGTTCAGGACTGACCTCGACGAGGCAATCCATACGACATCGTCGTACTCACGCCGCATTGATCTCTGCACGTGAACCGAAACTTCCTGTTGACCAATAATATACGACTTTGTGAACTGCCGCAAAAACTTTGTGTCCTATCGCAGTACTCCGTTCCACAAACGGATACAACATTCGACGCGCAACTAGCTTGCAACAAACGACAACATCGTTCAACCGGGCCTCAGATACTACGAGGAAATTTGCCAATGGTAGGGTGGGAGAGACTGCTCCTGTACACTTCGTTGGAAAAGGCAGTGTGAGCGAGTGTCTGTCGCCTGCCGAAGCGTTTTGCGCGGACCGCTGCACAGCACGGTATTTGTGTTTACCAGAGAGCATGGAGCTGACCGGTGGGGGCAATCGTCGCATACCTGCATTTGCACCTTGACCACTTCGGAAGGCACGAGCCAAAGGCTACCCGTCATGTCCCCAAGAACCGCGGCCAAGCAAAACGTGATGGCCCGTGGAAGTTGCTAAGGCGGCCATCATCGTCCATGGTGTTGCAGTGGCAAAGCGTGCGCAAGGTGAGCGGGGGCACTGTAAGGTGGCGTTCTTCATTCGTCGCATGCGATGCTGTCAGTGCTACGAGGTCATACTGCAACGGCGAAGCAGTGCGTCGTGGTATCTCACAGCAGACCATGTCCACCGTCAGCACGACGTGTTCAAGGACGGAGAAACCGACAGCTTCTGGCACACAGCAATGGGCGAGCCTTTCAACGTTCCCTCTTACTTTTTGTTATGGTTATGGTCCACACGTTTGACACCCCCCTGGAACATATGTAGAACTCGAGACACCGGCTACGATAATAAACGAGACCTGCGCTGCCGTACCGGGAATCTCTCCAGCAAAGCCGTCTTGTACAACTCGTACGTTCCGAAGGTCAGCATTCCGTATGGCACCTGTCCAGCGAGAGAGCTACCCAGTCCTCTGTACATGTCGGGAATCGACGTCGCCGCAGCTGCTCTGCCCAGGTGCAATCGCGTCTTTATCGTGTCTAGTGGGTAGCTGAGGCATAGGGAGGCAACCAAGGAGACAGAAAAGGTGGTCGTGAATGCGAGAGGTATTTGTACATGTGACCTATTTCTTCACGATATCTGAAAATGATTTCTGCAATTGCTGTGCCCTGTGGAGTTCATGATCGTACCTTCGATTCGTGGCGACGGACCAGCACTCAGCGTCTCTGCATTACCCTGCTTGAAGTTATAAAAATAGAAATTGCAACTCGCAAAGCTACAGATAGTCTTGTGTGTGCGGGCTCTTGTCGCAAAACATGATACTGCCGCAATGCAAACACGCTCACCCAGCAGTAATGCTTGCACATCTTGCTACTGCAGCAGCGATCAAATGCGGCCTGGCAGAGCGTAGAGAGTCCCCGAAGCTTCGCCATGTGCCTTGAAGTCCTACACGTAGTCCTGCCTCCCCGCTGGCAGCATCAACAGCTTGGATACTCAGAAAGCTGAGCAGGAGTGATGCCACGATGGATACATAAACTACGCGCATCCTCAGGGATGGCCGCAACACGGCAACGGTGCTGAACAAAAAGGAGCTCAACATCGTGTAGCCGGGTGCGGCTAGAGGTGTGGTCGTGTGGTTTGTCGGGCGGGTGTAAGAGACAGACGAACGCGGGCACGGACACATGCGAGGAACAGATGAATATGTGTAACCAGAAGTTCTAATTTGGAACCAAACGGAGAACCAAGGGCTGCCTGCCCACAATTTTTGTACCCCCCCACCGTTATGATTTCACGGGGCTGCAACGTTCACAGCGTCACCGTCCACGTGACCGTTCAGCATTCTCCTCTCTCTCTCCTACACCATCGGGTAGCTGGCAAAGGCGAAAGAGGTTCAACAAGGCAAGAAGTCCCTCGTAGATCAGCTGGGTTTGGCGCCACTCTTTCGGCCACCAGCGTTTTTTTAAACTCTTTCTTGTTGCGAGGAAAATAAGGCCGTTGACAAATAGTCAACGCAGCCGGATAGGGCTAGCTGGACACCACTGCTGCATAGCGGGCCTGCCCTCGGAGGGAACAAGCGTCGCCGTACGCCTTCGTGAGCACGTGCACGCTACCAAGAGGTGCGTGCTTGGTGGATCTACCCACTCTCTAAGTAGACGTAGGCCTTGAATGCGCATCGCAGCCAAGAGAGCAGTCAGCAAACACATGTGGCAATGAGTTAGTCCGTTCCTTCCTCCCTTTGGAACAACCTCGTGCCCATGGTTACACGGTGGTAGTATGCAACCAAAGTCCGCATCTTGCTGTGCGTTTGGGTTTCACAACGAGATGTGCGGTTTGATGGTTGGTCCCTGTAAAGGCTCTGCCTGCAAGCCAGCGTTGCGGAGAGGAAGTGGCGAAAATTCCGAAACGTGTCGCCTCCCCAGGAAGGCTTGTTGATACAGCTTCTTTCGGCCACGCGATGGAAACGGTCGTTCCACACCCACACTACAGCAGTACACAACGTCAAAGGCCGAAACAAAGAAAGCCGGTGCATGAACGCGGAGTTACAATAGATGCACTAGCACCCTCCTGAGAGAGGTTATTAATTGTGTTTTGCGTCATCATCGTAATGCTGTGCAGTACAGCAGTCGTACTACGAAAGGATGTTTTACGGTTGTTCACCCCAGCTTCAAATACTTCGCACGAGGATTGCATAGCAGATATATATTTTTTATTTTTCTTAATATGACACAACGAGTCCATCATTAGTTATAATAGGCCTGTGCTCCGTAGGTGATTTTTTTTTTTTCGGTGATTTTTTCCGATTGCCAAAAATATATCGGTAATTATTCTAGCTGCACGAAAACGTTTTTGGGTGGAAATCGGTGCCAAAAAAAAAACAAGGTGAGAACCAGAAAAACGTTTTCTTCGGTGATTTTCGGTGATTGGGGTGAGCTGCCAAAAAACGTTCCTCGGCGATTTTCGGCGATGTTTCGAAGGATCGTAGCAAGTACTCCACCGTAAATACCATGGTTGGTGTCTGCAGTGCGGTGCTTGGATTGCGTGCGCTATGTGCTGTGTGCTCTGCTGCTGTGCTGCTGCGCTTGGGGGGGGGGTATCTGATAGGATTTAGGGGGTATAGCTGTATACACGGAGCCCCCGAAGAAAAAACGGTGAAAATCGGTGGGCGCCGGCAAAAATCGGCGAGGCACCTCCCGTTTTCGGTGATCGGCCACTTTTTTTTCGGTGATTTTTGGTGATCACCTACGGAGCACAGGCCTAAATAGAAGTCGTGTCCCCCAACCGGCCCGTAATCTTTCCGCCGCGTTTTCTGTAGCATCCGTACCCCCGGGGGCGGTCCCTTGATTTGCAGCAGGACTTTAGAATATCTGTCGTTGATTTCTATTGACTTGCAGACCCCTCGGGGCCAGTTTATTTGAGTGTACCGTTGTAGGGTAAGTTAATCTGTGGCCACGGGAATCGACTGCGTCGAGCGTTTGATCAGTACGGACATACGAAGGTACTGGGTAAAGAGAGATCGGAACGATTTACAACAACAACAGCAACATCTAAAACATGTTTCTACTCATGCTTACAAACCGCGCAATGGTGTCAACGGAAGAGCGCCGGTCCAGCGTCTGCACAACTTGATTTTGTTTCAATCTCTGCCGAGGTTATCTTGTCATCCCGTCGATTATTTCGTCGTCCATCAGCACAACAAGTAGCAAAACTAAACCAGCCCTTGTAACCTAGGAGTATATATGACCTATCGCCCTCTTTCGATACCACAACGGACCTCACGGCAGCAGTGGCACGTAGAACGCATCGCGACAGAGCTTCACCGTGGCAACGTTCTATGCGGTGGCGCCGTTGCTCGAGATAAGCTAAACCGCAACCCGGGACCTGCTGCTGTGCGCGTTGTGTTGAGAGCAAGGAGGAACGAGCTGCGTGACACGTGAACTTTTTGCTCCCGGGGGAGGGGGGGGGGCACACGATGCTGCTGACCAACGGACTCTTAAATCGTTGGAGTGAAGGTCAAGGTTTGTTTTGGTTGATGTAGGGGCCGCGATTGGTTCGGAACCATAATCTTCCTCATACCCAATCTCCAGCTCCGCCCGCCAGCTAGACCGCAAGAGGATGCACCACAACAGCACCGCGCAGCTTTCCCCTTGTGGGTCAAAAGCTCCGGGACCGGCAGCATCATTGCACATGTACAGCAGCGTGTTATTTTTACCCACCCACCTACCTACTCCCTTTCCCCCATCCATCGTACAGCAGGGTGTTCTTTACCCCTTCCCCCCCTCCCTCACCTCTTGTCCGGTGAGAACTNATGCAGCGCACCCTTCATGCGACTCGCCGAATATCTCACGGCGCTTCGCGCTTGGTGATGTGAGAGCCTGGTCCGGTGAGAACCCGGCGTGCTCCGTCCCGGCTTTGTAGGGATGCGAGGTCAATGGTCTAACGACTGCGGCATGCACGACCATGAGTACCCGCCCCCCCCCCTCCCGACCCCCCATTCCCCATCCATCGAACAGCGGTGGAAAGCAAGCGAGGTCACCAGCGATTGGTCAATCATGTTTGGCTTGACACCCCGAACGAAGCCCTCGCCTCGGCACGCGAAGGGGCAGACCGCAGGCGGCAAGGACGGAGGAGAGTTTCCGGCCGTGGGGAGGCGCGTTCGTACGCTTCCAAAGGGGCTCCTTGGTGTTGTACGGTGAGGACGAGGCGACGGGGAGGAAACTCATGTATTGTATGCCTTAGCGGCAAGACCACGCATCCTCGAGAGGACGGCGCATGGTTCCCCCAGGACCAATCACCGATGGTCAATCGTTCCTTCCTACTTTACCCAGGGGGGGGGG